TAATTGTTCTAGTTCATTGTGGGTCGGGTGTTGGAAACTAGGTACGACAGATTAGCTTCTTCTATTCATCGTCCATCAGTCCACAACAAAAGTTCTTTGTGGTGGCGCAATTTGCTGGAAGTTATTCATCAAGGGAATTCATGGCTGAATGAGAAGTTGGATAGGAGTGTGGGTGCAGGTTTGGACACTTTTTTTTTTAGAGATAAGTACGTAGGTGGGGTGCGATTGTGTGAGGCATTTTCGCGATTGTTTGCAGTGGCAAGAAATGTTGAATCTTGTGTATTGGAGAATGATTTTCATGATGGCACTAGGTGGGTTTGGGATGTTAGTTGGCAAAGAGGACTATTTCAACATGAGATCTCAAGCTTTAATTTTATGTTAGAGTTTGTGGATGGAGTTTCTATTGAAGTATTACAAGAAGATAAATGGGTGTGGAGAGTAAATTCTTCATGTTGTTATTCAGTGCATTCTGTGTATTTATAGCTATTTAAACTTTTTTGTGGTCTAAATATGGTATTAGTTTTTGCTTTTTTTTTTTTTAAGTAAGTATTAGTTTTTTCTATATATATATATATATATATATATATATATATATGAGTTTTGAGTTCTCCTTAAACTCTTTATAATAATATATTTTACTTATAAAAAAATAATTTTTACTAATTGTTTAATTATATAATATTACATATACTTCTAAAATAATTAAACAAACAAATTAATAATACAATTTAATTTTAAATAAAAAAATTTTAATCTCTTAAAAATAATTGATGTGTCATATATATTGGCAAATGATTTTTTAGTATAAGAAATCGTTATATTTTACTTCCTCTATTTTTATTTGTCTGTCAAAAGAGAGAAGATAAAATTTATTCTTCTTTATCTGTGCATAATATTTATTATTATGATTTTATTAATATTTTATTGCTTATATAAAAACTTTAAGTATAATAAATAAAGTATTTATAATTGTTGAATAATTCAAAAATAAAAAAGCAACTATAAGTAAAGGTTATATTAAAAGGTTCATTAAATATTTATAACAAAATAATTACTATTTTTAGTTTGTATACACATAAATAAATAAATAAATACTCTTAATATATTTTATTTTATTTTATTTTTTTCGTTAGACAATCCGTATTGATAAAGTTAGAGAAAACAACTGGTTGTATGTGTAATGGCCTTTTTAAAGTAAAAATGTTTGAGGTGTAAAAAGGAAGGTGTATCTGCTCTAAAAATAAAGTGAATAAAATTTGGGAAAATCTATATATTTAAATCAACCTTGCATAAGAAAATGGAAATAACTAAAGTTTGATGCTTCCAATATTTTATATATATATATATATATATATATATATATATATATATATGATAAATAAAGTATTACATGACTTGGGCTGGACTTGGCGTAGGATTAAAAACCTTTTCACCCATCAAGCTGTTATGTTATTATATATATATATATATATATATATGATAAATAAAGTATTACATGACTTGGGCTGGACTTGGCGTAGGATTAAAAACCTTTTCACCCATCAAGCTGTTATGTTATTATATATATATATATATATATATATATATATATATATGATAAATAAAGTATTACATGACTTGGGCTGGACTTGGCGTAGGATTAAAAACCTTTTCACCCATCAAGCTGTTATGTTATTTTGGTGTAGCCTGGCTTGAATGGGCCAAGTATAGTTATTATATATATATAGGCAACATTATGTTGTTATGTTATTAAAATATAAATAAACATCAACGGTTGAATAATATATCTATAGAAATTTAAATCATATAAAATTTAATATATATATATATATATATATATATAATTACAAAAATAATATAAGCATCAATTTTATATATATACAAGCTAAATTTCAGGAAGGTGTCAACATTGTTGGACTAAACTTTTTAAATAGTAAATTTAATTTTTATTTTTTTTATTTGCTCACTTAAGTTACATGGATATGCTTTTCCAACATATATAAAATTTTATATATTTTTTGTTTGTCAATATGATTTAAACAGAATAAATGATAGGGTGATTATGATCTATTTTTTATTTGAAAATATTCAAACAGAATAAATTAATATTTATTTAACATCTTTATTTTTATTTTATCTTTTCAGTCTTTTGATCTGATCTAAAAGAAGATGAAGCTTAGCTCTTAGCTGAACGCGAGGGAAAGTAAAGGTTGATATTTAGGGTGGTGGGCATAAGCGATAAAGTGATTGGTTTAACGTCCTCTAATGTATAGGTAGCACCCAGGAGGGTGAATCTAAGATAGATAACATAGCTCACATCCTAGGCCTGCAGAAAGATCTACTGAAGATGCTGTGTTTTTCTTGTAACTATGGTTTCAATTAAAAGCTATTAGGTATTATGATTTCAATCAATTATTATGTAACATGTTAGAACTTTTTAACATTTTTTATTATTAAAAAGATGGCCATATATTATTATATATATGATAATTGACCGAAATCATATCAAGTGTGATCTCAAAAAATCAAATAATTTTTCCATATTTGGTTGCCATTAAGGGCCCCTCCATCCCTTAAGGTCTAAAACAAAGTAATCCTTTAATTAGACCTCGACCTTGCAAACGGAACAGCTGAATACTGCTTTAGCGCTGCTTTGTCAATTCAACCATTATGATTTACTGAAAAGTAGTTGTTCTCACCTTACGCAACTAACCATAGAGAACCACAAAAGCAAACTTGCCTTTGGAATTAGACGATGCTCAGGTGATACCTCTAATCTAGAAATCAACGAGTTATGGTTTAATGCTACTGGTAATATGTAAGTAAGACTTAAATATTGCAGTATATATAAAATTTACGTAAATAATATATGAACTACAGAAATTTAACGCTACTCTTTTCCGGGTGATAAAACTATCAATATACACTGTACGTGGATATACTATAATTATGTAAGCAGGACCCTTCATTTATTCATCTCCATATTATTAGCACAACGCGTGGCAAATGATCTGTTTGGTTTTTTCTCCGCAACTGTATGCATCATTTTCGTTTGCGTTTGAAGGTAACAAGCTAGCTGCTTGAAAAGCAAATGGTAGAATGATTGAGGATTATATGAGGACTATCATATATCAGTCAAGTTGAACACATGGATCAATACAAATAATTGTGGTAATATTCTTCCTGAAGATAATAATGTATATGTACAAAGATACTCATCTTCAAATTGGTATATTAGTACAGAAGAATGTCGCAATAACGCACTTTTTTTCTTTTCCAGGAGCACGCATTAATTATGCACTCTTAAACCTATATTATTTAGTAGTGAGAGACTTAATTTTACTCAATAACAAAAACATTAAAAGTGTAAAGTGGCATATTGTTATTAATTAACATTTGGTTATTGCTACTCTTTTTACTGTATATATGCTAATCAATAACTTGAGTACTTGAGCGATCTTTTCGGTCTTGCACATTATTGTGCAGAGACTGTACGATTCTTCTACGATCTCGTTTTAGGGGGGTTCTCATCACAAAGGATTCGATAACAATGTGGTTCAATGTATCCATAAATTTACCTGTCAAGGTTGGGATCGCATCTTTGACTACATTGAGAGAGAAAGGAGCATGAGCTTTGATTGGCTTGCAAATTGAACCCATGCTCATGAGTTTTGCTTTGCTTGCCACATTTGTCATCTGTGTATCATGACAGATTCTTGTATACTCCGATCCCACCCAACTACCCTATTTGTCAAATTTTGATTTATATTTTATTATTTAATCTTTTTTATTAAATCTATGGCCATTATCATATTTATGCCCACTAGCTTTTTTCGCCAGGACATCCTGTCCTTTTTAGAAACTCACGACAACCGATTCCTAGAAAACTAAAATGAAAAATCAAGGTACTTAGCGTGTCTGTTTTCTTAATATAATATTAAAGTATATTTATTCCTAACATTAGATATACCAGAACGAATACAAATGTCTCCAGTGCAAAACATGAAAAATAACCTTATACAATATGATCCAGTAAATAAGCTTCACATCCTCCCCGTATACACTAATATTGTTTTATTCCACTAATAATTAATCACTTTTTAACATAATTTTTTTCAACACAGTTTTTATTAAAATTTACAATAATTACATAGGTTAGACTTTTAATTAAGTATTTTTATTCTCACTTGGATAATTTTTAATAAATTTTAACCTAAATAAATATATATTAAAAAGGGTGTTAAAAACATGTTCCTCGGTGAGATGTGTCTACATTGACTATTGTTCTAGTCGAAAACTCATTTAAAACCCAGCTAAGTAATAATTAATGGCCTTGGCCAGAAGGTATCAATCTTACGATATATATCCTAATGGACTCAGCTTAATCACATATTTAAGGGAACCCTTTCAAATTTTACTGTCACCATCCTAACTATGATTGAATGAAACTGTGGTTTAAAGTGAGCATGATATCTTTAGAGGGATATGCAAAAGGTAGACAAAAGAAATTTATTTTTTTTCTTTCAAAATGATTGGGTTAATGGATGGTTTGATTTTCAATCTCTCAAGTACTTTAGCATCCTCATGGGACCAGGAATGACGTCTGGCCGTTAACAGCAAAATTATAATAATAATAATTATCAGTATGTTAAGGGTAGGAAGAAGGACATTTAAAGCTGTGATTGTGATCATTAATTAAAAGTTCACACTTTGTCATTATGGAAAATGATAATAAAGAAATGAAAATAAGGCTTAAAAAGGCCTTTCATTTCACAATTTCCCCACAAAAAAGTTTGGTGCATTCTAACCGATCCACAAAAAGGATCATTCTTTCAACCCAAAGTAATAAAACCAGAAAAATGAAAGAAAGATAAAGAAAGCCTAAACTATGTACAACAAACGGTAAATAGGGAAAGTGAATACTTTTGTCTTTGTCCTCCTATGATATAATGTTGAATATATTAAATGTGAAAAGACCCATCCATCCCCACATCATGAGATCATGAAGAGGCCATGTGATGGGCCTGGGCCTGATGTACTTGGGCCTGGCCATTAGAGAAGGGCAATGTTCTGGGCTTACTAAGAGATAACTCTGTCGGGATTTGAGAACCATTGTTAACGGTGGTGGTTGTGGTTGCAGTGCAGGAATTAGTGGCCACCCTTTCACAAGAGGGACACATGGTGAGTGTGGTAGCTGGAAGCTGCATGTAGAATGGCTGAGAAGTTTTTAAGGCTCTTAATTCTTGTAGTTCCTTCTGCAACCTCCTATTCTCTTCTGTCAGGGTCTCACAGCATCGCTTTAAATACTCACAATCCACTTCCGTTTGCTTCAACTTTGTCCTGCAATTAATAATCGCATTCCAAAATTAATCACAACATATTGCTCACAACACACAAGTTTTCCTTCATTTGCTTTTCCAAAAAATAATATCCACCAATAAGGTAATGACAATTCTTCTCACCTTGCCCTTCTGTTCTGAAACCATACTTCCACTTGACGAGGACGAAGATTCAATTGCTTCGCCAAAGCAAGTTTCTGCTTCTGCAGGCAATTTAAATTACAATAAATAAATAAACAATCAACGTTAAGACATGGAAGGATTTAACTCGTCATGTTAACGTCACATACAAAAATTTACTAATGCCTATACAGCTAACATTTAATTTAATTGTACCGTGTTTATTATAGTATGTCATGAAAAAATGAAGAGAGAATCTCATCCCATTTAACTTTATAATGTTTGGAAATATGTTAAAAATTTAGAGTGTACAGTTAACGTAGAGAGTTAAATCCAAAATAAAATTTATAATAGATATAAATTTTACATTAATTATCAAAAAATTAACAATTCTTATTTATATAATAATTTGTTATTAGAAAATGATATTAAAAATTTATAAACTATTTATATTAAATTTAAATGTAAACTTATGGGAAAAATTAACTGTGTTGAAATAAATATAAATATGTTTAAACATGCTATTAGTGTCTTAAGAATATTAGTTAAAAGTTAAGAAATAATAATTTTTTATTAAAAATAACAACAAAATGCATTAAAAACTATATAAACAAAAATATATTTATTTTTCCCTTGTATATTTTTCTTATTTTCAATAGCGTATACATCATATATAAGAGTGTCAAACCAATATTTCATGTTTCTAGTTAAAATTGAAAAAAAAAAGTTCATTTGGACTTACGGGATTGAGAGTGGTGTGTTCTTTGAAGCTTTCTTCGAGAAAAGCTGATTGTTCTTTTGAGAGTCTGAGTTTCTTGCGAGTTGAAGCGTTCTCGTCGTCATCACTCGCTCTAGAACTCGCTCTCTCGCCCTCACCCTCTTGCTCTCTCCTGTTTCTCCCTCCAAACTCCACATTACCATTCCTCATACTGAAATCCATCTGAAACGGTGACACCGCACTGTTAGGTGACGACAGCGACGTCCCCTCGTCGCCGTCTTCCGCCGCCCCGGCCCCCGGAAAAAGGTTCACGTCCAACACCCTCGCCGACCCGCCTATTATGAAAAATACCAACGACTTACTCTCGTTTCAAATCAAAACCAAATAATCAGGCAGGAAGCATCAAAATCTTATTTTGAAAAATAAAAAATCCTTTTTATCAGTTTTTCAAGATAACTTTATAAAAAAAATATTATTTCAATAAATGTTTAGTTTTAAGTTGTTATAAAATGTTAACCTTGATGTACAGTTGATGGCAGAGCTTACTGTCATTTTGATGTTTTTACTATCACTTTTATTTTTAAAAAATTATATAAAATATTCATATCATTAATAAAATTTTTAAGAATTTAAAATAATACATTAAAAGTTTATTCTTTTAATAAAATATCATCGTATTTAAAATAATTTTAAAAACAAAGGTTGATAAAAATGCAATTTACTTTCAACATGGTTCTAATATTTAAGTATTTATACAGAAAAAAAGAAGTAAGCTTTAATTTACTTTAAACATGATTTTTGTGAGCATGAAGAGGGAGAAAGGGAGAGAAAAATTACATGCTTGAGTGAGCCAAGGAATGGGAAGGTGAGAGGAAGAAGGTTGGGATCTTAGAACGGGAGTGAAAGGAAGAAGGTTGAGTTGAACAGGTGGATCTGAGGAACCCCTTCTTTCATCATCGCTTCTTTTGTCTTCTGAGGCTTTCCCTGCAGTGAAACTGGGTGCTATGCAGAACCCAGGTGGGTCTTTGGACCCTAAATTTGTTGCCTTATCAAGAAAAGTGAAAGCCTTTGACGTGTCTCCTAAGCTCAAAGCCAACTCCATCTTCAAAACAACAAGAATGAAAGGTACAAAGCTGTGTGTGTTATATATGTACCGACAGTGGGTGTTTTTCAAAGGAGAACAAAGAAAGTGGAGATTCGCTTGTTGTTGCAGAAACCCTCTCCCCTTCTTCTTTCTTTCTTACCCCAAAGACGACAACAACAACGCCTTTTTATTTGGGCTCGCTACCTTTGCCTTTGTGGGAGTAAAGATTTTGACCGACAAACACAGGTTGACAAAGCCACGTGAATCTATTTAAATATTCAACCCTTCTCATGCCTTCACCCTCCCCCACCACCACACACTACCAAGACCTCAGAATTTTCTTATTATATCAAATTACATTCCTTCACTTATTATACCAAAGGTTAATAGGTGTGAACAGTAAAGATAGTATGTGATATATATAGTTATAAAATCAATAATGCCATGAAAAAGAAAGAATGAAATAAGATGTATAAAGTAGAGGGAAATTTTGAAATGTAAGCGTTTTCTTTATATATATTTAACATTCAATAATGTTATTTTTCATATGAATTTTTTTATAAAAAAATGTTATTATTTTTTGTGGAAAGGATGAAAAAAGTAAAGTTAAAAATTAAGTACTATAGCATAACGAACTTTTATTTTTATTTTTTTATTTTAAGAGAAATCTATTTGCACCATTTAATATTTACTCCTATTTTATTAAATTATGCTTACCGTGTCCATTATATTCATAGCCTTGCATAATATGCTTGAAGAAAATCAAATGCTTCTTATATAGTATTTATTATTATAGTATTTTTCTGCATTTAGATTTTAGAAATGATAATATAAACTTTGTAGAGAATGTAGAATGAAGAAAAATAATCACACTGGTCAGAGAATAACAGCTGCAGATTCTATTAGTTATTTTCAAGTACTATTTTGGATACAATCTGATTAGCCTCAATTTATATGTTTTTATTCATGGTTTGGTGAAGCTGAATAGCTGATGTGTATCAATAAGCACAAGGTACATACTATATACTAAAACATAAAATAAAATGTTTAAGGAAATTCTATTCTAGTGTCATTTTATGGCTACGTACATTGTGTGTGACTCATGCAGGAAAAGTGGTATAAAAAAATGTGTAGTCAATTTTCAAATCAGTTTAAGCAAAAGAGAGCCTCCGTTTGCGCTCTAATTGAATGCGGATGCGTTTTCCTACTAACCAAAATTGACACAAATTTAAGAGGCTGCACCAAACCAAACAGGGTCCAAATAGCGTCATGATGACAAGGAGAAAATGATATATCATCTGAGAGACATGTCTGGGATTATAAACCTGCTCCTGTTGTCTTATTGATTAGCCAGTATGTATGTTGGCCTCTCATCTATCGTCGCCATCATGCTTATTCTCATTCTCATTATGCATGACAATATGATAAGAATGATTATTTGTCTTTGGTACCCAATACAGAATCATGTGGGCTATATCTATTAAGGCATAAACAGTTAAACGGTACTGTTTCAGTGTTTTCTTTTGCCGTTTAATTTTGCTCTCCTATGAATTAATAATAAGCCCAAAAATTTGTGAAAACAGACATATATTTTTCAATGCCTGATTAGCTTCGAGCTCAAGATTTTTCTGCTAGCTGTGAAACAATGCTATTATTTGTAAGGGACAAGATTTTTTAAAAGTATATCAAAACATTTACTAGTTTATTCTTAATTATTTTAAGATAAAATAAACCGTATACACTTCAACATATTTATTATAATTGATTTATTGAAAGAATATTTTAAAATTATAGTATTCCTCTAAAAAAAGTGATCTAAATATTTTGATTCTTAATTTTATAAATTTCTCTCTTTAATTTTTATTGTGCAAAACATCATTTATTTTAATTCTTAATCTTAGCAAAAATATATTATAAATATAAAAATAAATTAATATTTCATAACATTAAGATTAAAATGAATACTAGAAGTTTAGATAAATATATCATATATTTTGATCTTCTTAGTTATTTAAGTTATCTCCATCACTAACATGCTGTAGGCTGCTAAAACATGTTTGATTAAATAAAGATATTTTTTTATATTCTGTTAATGCCGATCGGTCAGCAGTGGCATATTTATTTAAGGTGATAACTAAAAAAAAAATAAGAAAAAAGATAAATGAGATAATTAACGTGAAATTATAAATATTATTCTAATTATTATAATGCATTCATTAAATAGATAAACCAACTAAATTTTACTATTTTTATGAAAGTTTTCTGCTTTCAATCTTAATTTGCGTTGGTTTAAGTAAGTAGATGAGTTGCATGATTTATGAAAAAGAGATTTAAAAGTTCTTTTATATCTTTTGAAGCATTACCAGCTCTATGATTAACATGTAAAAATAGATTAAATAGATGGTTAAAAAAAAGAAAAAAATTGATATCTAATGACAAAAAATCTTTAAAATGAAGGTCGAATGGAGTATGTACAATCAATTTGAAAAATACACTAAATTTTTCCTTATTTTTATTAACTTTTTGTTGAATTCAATTTGTTAAAGGTGGATAATTTTATTTTAGATGAATATTATATTAAAAATTCTAGTTTTACTAATTTAATTATTAGAATTAAGTTTAAATATTTAATAATAATAAAATTTTATAAAAAATATTTATTATATTTTTATATAATAATTATTTTATATTTTAATATTTACATTTAATTTTAAGAATTTAAGTAAAAAAATTATATTATTTTTTATAAAAAAAATTAAAATATATATTAAAATTTGAGAATGAATCTATTATAAATTTAAACCAAAGCGAGTGTTTCTGAAAGTAGGAGAAAAGATAAAACTAGAAAAAAAAGATGAAATTCTTTGAAATTCTTTATTAGTCAAAATTCAAGTTTAAAACTTATGTAATTAACTTCTTTTTTTTTTTTCTTTTGGTTAACTCCAAAACAAAATAATGGAACACCAAAAGAATTTACTGTTGAGCCGTATGAGCCAGGAAACTCTCAAGTACGGTTCTAAGGGAAGGAATTTACTCACCTATTCCGACCGAGGAGAACAGGCCATTCGACAGGGAGACTCTGAAATTGCGGAGTCTTGGTTTAATCAAGCCGCTGAATATTGGAAACAAGCTATAGCCCTTACCCCTGGTAATTATATTGAAGCACAGAATTGGTTGAAAATCACAGGACGTTTTGAATAAGAACACTCTGTTTTTTGTTTTTTTTTCTATTTTCTTATTTCATTATATATATATATATATTTCATTTATATTCTCTATAGAATATAAATAATATATATATATATATTTCATTTGTTATAATCTATTCACTCTATCAATAACCGAGCCGGATCTGGTGTATCATAGGGAATTGACTTTTTCTATTGATTCCTCCGGATTGGATCAAAAACCATTTTTGAATGAGGTATTCAAGATAATTATGTACTTACAAAATACCGTCTCAATTCATCCTATTTCATCAGATCCGGGATGTGATATGGTTCCGAAGGATGAACTGGACAGTTCCAATAAGATTTCATTCTTGAACAAAAATCCGTTTTTTGGTTTATTTCATCTATTCCATGACCGGAACAGGGGGGGATACACGTTACACCACGATTTTGAATCAGAAGAGATATTTCAAGAAATGGCAGATCTATTCACTCTATCAATAACCGAGCCGGATCTGGTGTATCATAGGGAATTGACTTTTTCTATTGATTCCTCCGGATTGGATCAAAAACCATTTTTGAATGAGGTATTCAACTCCAGGGATGAATCGAAAAATCAATCTTTATTGGTCCTACCTCCTCTTTTTTATGAAGAGAATGAATCTTTAACAGTAAAAAGTCATGCATTCATGGATTAACAAGCAATTAAAAACAATATATAAACTAATTGTAATTTAAAATCATAAATTTTTAAAATGAAAAAATTACTGAAATTGAATAATATATTAAAAAGAGAATGATTTAGTGATTAAAGAAAAACTTAGATAAAAATGAAAGAAGAAGAATGGGTGGAAGAAGAGAAGTTTTGGATATTGAAAGGGGGTGGTGGTCCCTCGCGCGTGGGTTAGCTTTAGATAGAAGTCGTAATTAAAAATAGGCACACAGAGGAAATGAGGGAGGGTCAGATATGTCATGCTTTTGGGATCATTGCAATAATTGAAGTCATGCAGGCTTTAATGATAAGCTGCAGAGAGAGAGATGCGTGAATTATTGGATGGGACCCTCCTTTCAGAAAACGAACCATGCCATAAAGTGATCCTCATGTAATAATTCTCCATGGAAATCGAATGTGAAAATACCCACACTCCCCCACCTCCAACCGTGAACATATCAATTATCATACCCTTCTCCCTCTCTCTCTCTCTCTCTCTCTCTCTCTCTCTCTCTCTCTCTCTCTCTCTCCTCATTCTTCCTCAATCATGCATTAGATTCTCTCCTTCTATATTTGGATCTTAGTATATTAATTCATGTCTTTAAGAATTAAATTGCTTTTTCTTTAATTTCATTACTATTTTATCAAATTTTATTTTCTAGTGTCACTGCCAGACCCAGTGACCTGGTCAAACAACGAAACAATCTCCACCCAAGAAATCAAATTGGTACGTTTCAATCTACTAGATACTAACGAATCAATCTTGGGGTGAAAATATATATTTTGGGTTTGACTTTCAAAACCACGCTGCATGGAGAGGATCGAGATTGGTGGCTTGATTATTATCTTAATTATTCTCAACCTACCTATGTATCAATCATAGAGTTTAATTAAATCCAAGTTCTTTGATTAGTGTATGATCAAATATAAATAAGCTACTTGTAGTTGTACGTAGGAAGTGGATAAGTGAATATACCAGTTCAACATTAAATAAATGGCATTGTTGTCTGATTAAAGGTGTTTATTAGACCAAAAAAAATTCCTGATCAAGGTCACGTTCTTCTTTGTTGACTTTGAAATGAAACTACATAGTATATATAGATAGTTCAAAATAATGTTGCTGGTTATGCGTTTGC